TGCCCTTAGGCAATTTCACCAACTCACAAGTATGGTTCTCATGCAGAGATTTCATCTCATCTTGCATGGCTTCAATCCATTGATCCTTGTGCTCATCCTCTATGGACTCCGCATAACATTGAGGTTTTCCCCCATCAGTGAGTGATACATACTCATTGGGTGAATAACGGGAGGAAGGAGTACGAGGTCTAGAAGACCTCCTGAGTAGAATATCTAACTCGTCCACAGCTTCATGAGTAGGAGCATCTACCTCATCAACATTAGCATTGTTATCACCATCACTATCAATATGCTGATCTGGAATATGGTTCTGGGCACCACCATCATCATTGAGCCCACCAACGTCATCCGCATTTGTATGAGGAACATCAAGATTAACTAAACCTTCAGAACTTGGAGATTTTAGCTTCTCCGCTTTGTTAATATCTTCAATGGTTTGATCTTCCACGAAGATAACATCACGACTTGTCACGACCTTCTTCTCAATTGGATCATATAGCCTGTAAACTCATCAAGGCCATAACCAATAAAGATGCACTGCCTTGTCTTAGAATTTAATTTTGACCTCTCATCTTTAGGCACATGTACAAAAGCTTTGCAACCAAACACTTTCAAGTGGTCATAGGAAACATACTTGTCATACCAAACTCTATTTGGAACATCACTTTGCAAAGCAAACCGCAGGGGATAGATTAATAACATGTGCGGCGGTCAACAATGCCTCACCCTAAAAGGAATTCGGCAACTTTGCTTCAGAAAGCAAACATTTGACTCTTTTCATCAAGGTCCTGTTCATCCTTTCTGCTAAACCATTAAGCTGAGGATTCTTAGGAGTAGTCTTCTGGTGTGTGATACCCTGTTTCTTGCAGTATTCGTCAAATAGTCCACAATATTCACCACCGTTATCAGTACGAATACACTTCAGCTTCTTTCCAGTTTCTTTCAACTGAAGCATGAAACTGCTTAAAGATACCCAACACTTGGTCTTTGGTCTTCAAGATGTAGACCCAAAGTTTCCTTGAGCAATCATCAATAAATGTAGCAAAATAAAGTGCACCACCCAAAGTCCTTGTCTTCATTTGACCACATAAATCTTAATGCACCAACTCAAGCAACTCTGTCTTTCTTGAAGGAGGATGAGACGGGAAAGAAACTCTTTTTTGTTTTCCAGCCAAGCAGTGCTCATATTTTTCTAATTTTGCACTTTCAAAACTTGACAACAATTTCTTCTTGGCTAGAACATTTAGTCCTTTCTCGCTAATGTGGCTAAGCCTCTTATGCCATAACGTTGAAGAGTTATTGCTCTCAATGGCATTCAACATATCAACACAGATAGAGGTCGTAGTCCAATATAGACCACAACGTTTTTTCCCACAAGCCACAATCATGGAACCTTTAGTGAGCTTCCACTTTCCAACACCATTGGTAATGATATATCCCTCATCATCCAAAACACCAATAGAGATCAAGTGCAAACGAACATCAGGTGCATGTTTTACATTGTTTAAAACTAGTTTAGTTCCAATACTAGTTTCCAAACAAATCGTTCCAACACCAGCCATCCTAGATACAGTCTCATTACCCATACTCAAAGTTCCAAAGTCACCCTGAGTATAGGATGAGAAAAAGTCCTTCCTTGATGTCATATGAGATGCGGCACCGCTGTCCACAACCCAGCTTGACTCATCACAAGCAATATTTATCAGATCTGCATCAAGGACAGTAACAAGATCTTCTGTAGTGACGGTGGCCACAGGATTACCATATTCTTTTTGTTCTTCCTTGTCTCTATTCTCCTTTTTCAAAATTCGGCAGAACTTTTTTGTGTGCCCTTTCTTCCCACAATGATAGCACTCAATATCTTTAAGTCTGCTTCTGGATTTGCTTCTATTATGTTATCTATTTTGAGAACTCTTATTCTTGTTTCTCCCCCTAGAGTCAGTCACTAAGACATCTGATGAGGAGGAACCCTAAGATTTTCTTCTCATCTCTTCATTTAAAAGGCTGCTCTTGGCAAGATCCATAGAGATCACACCATCCGGAGCAGAATTATGAAGTTCTAAGAATTTCCCAAGAATCTGGTAGGGAACCAAGTAGAAACAGACCTTGAATTTCTTCATCAAATTTAATGCCCATAGCAGATAACTGGTTCATGATCCCCTGAAAATTATTCAGATGATCTGTCATCGCGGAACCATTATGGTATTTTAAACCCAACATCTGCTTTATTAGAAACATCTTGTTGTTTCCAGTTTTCCGAGCATACAGACTTTCAAGGTGCTCCCATAGGGTCCGAGCATGTGTCTCCCCAAAAATATGGTTCAAAACATTATCGTCAACCCGCTGTCTAATAAAGCCGCAAACCTGCCTATGTAACAAATTCCACTCTTCATCTGATTTATTATCAGGCTTTATAGTGGTAAATACAGGTTGATGAAAATTCTTCATATAGAGCAAAACTTCTATTTTGCCCTTCCAAATGGCATAATTTGTGCCATTTAAAGTAACCATTCTACTATTGTTGGCTTCCATCGTTTATCACAAATACAAATACTATTTATTAGGAGACCAAAGTAATTCTTTTCTGATGTGGAAGTTCAGACTGTGCTGCAACCACAAAGCATACTCAGACAGAACCTTGGCTCTGATATCACTTGTTGAGAAAAAACCCCGTAGAAATAATATTCACGGTATTAGTGATAAACGCGAAACACTAGTTATGGTTATATCAGCAAGAGTACAATGCAGCAATAATGATACCAATATTTTACGTGGAAACCCTTCTAAATAAGGAAAAAACCACGGCCAAGAAGAATAACTGATATCACTATAGCGAGGATTTTACACTGTGTAGTAACGAGTACGAATACTCCTAAGACCACTACACCCTCAAAAGAAAAAATACTCTTTTGCTCTTTCACTTCACTACAGTATCTCTCACACTCTATTTTTCTTCACAGACTATTTTCTTATAGTCTATGGAATACCTTGCTCTTTTTTTTTTTGGTGTGATGAAATGAGAGTTGAAGCTCTCCTTTTATAGCCAAAACCTCACTCTCTAAAGCCTACAATATTTGACAATTTTGCACATACTTTTCAGAATTTCAACAAAATTGGCTACCAAACCAAACCAATTCAACAAGGTTGACTACCAAATCAATACCAATTCAATAAGGTTGGCTACCAAACCTTTTGAATGAGATGGACACCATCAATCCCAAGTGTGAACAGTAACTTGAGCAGCAAGGAACAAATGCATGTGCAAGTGAACCAGTTTTTCCAACCTTAAAAGGGCTATATAGGACAAGGTTAGCAAGATGACAAAAAGGGATAATTTGGTGCACGAAACAATCTGCGTTCACGCAAGGCCTAAAGAAGGACCGCACTTCAAGGGGTATATATGATGTATGCGGTCTACCTAACACAAGCGCCAACAACGGATCGATTCCACACGGCTCGACTCGAACCCCTGGATCATACGGAGATAATTTTATCGTTGCTCCTCCTAGACTCACCTTCGTTAGCAAGATAACAAAATTTGTGCAAATTAATTTTAGGATACACCATAGCAAAAGTAATTACCACTTACAAAATAAGGGAAAATTAAGGAGTGCCATTTACGATAGCCATGCTGAGAATCTAACTCAAAGATATGAAGGATAGGAAACCTGCAGAAACACATGGGGCAGGTCCTAGAATTCTATTATTCTTACATTTATTGTACGAGTTATGTTATGAATTATGATCATTGATCAATGTAATTATGCAAACTATTAAATGCTTCATCTTATATGGAGATAGGGTTGTTATAAAGGAGTCCAATCACGTCAACAACAGCATAGGTCTTTACTAACATGTGAGATCATAAGTCAGATTTTGACTACATTAATTACCTTTGTGTTTGACATGTGTTTTAAAATTTGCCAGATCCCTCGTTATCCCTTTAAAACATGTATCCAAAGGAGTTGATATTTAGTCGAAAAGTAGCCCGTAAGCAATTTAAAGGAAAATTCTTTCCAACTTTAATTCGATTTTCCACTGTCGGCAGGAGAGTGCGATGTTAAGCAACTGACTGGAAGAACTTAACCCAAAGGAGCTCTTATGGTTTTTGCTTACCTATGTATCTTTTCACAAAATTCTTAGGCGGTCTTTCCTTTTCTTTATTATTATTATTATTATTATTATTATTATTATTATTATTATTATTATTATTATTATTATTATTATTATTATTATTATTATTATTATTTATTTATTTATTTATAAAGGGTGCCATGAAAATAGATTTTGAGTCTGATCAATCGTAAAAGTTAGCTTAGGAAGTGAGAATTACCCAAAACTATTTATAAGGAGACAACCGTCCATTCACTCACCTAATGTGGGACAATCTAACAGTCTTTTACGCCTAAACCTGGACAATTGGAGTGTGGATAACACCAAAACGGAGCTAAAATTTTTAGTTAACGGGTTTTGATATATTATTTGTACATATTAAATAAAATTTTTAGCACAGCCGAACACGTAACTAGCAGTGTGGCTCCGCCCCTTAATAACACAACATTGTGTCCAACACCGAGAAACACAATAAAAAGCATAAGTTTGACCATGATAGCATATGAAAAAATGAACATGTTAATTTGAAAATGGACATTAGACTTAACTCAACTAATAGTAGCTCATGCGGAGAGAATTACCCAAAATCATATGATCATATTGAAACAATCCGACAAACGATAATATCAATATCAGCTTGCGCACACTTCAATTATATATTTCACGACACATTCTTAGGAGTCTAATAAATCCATGGGCCCTTTGCTGATTGAGAAATTAAAAGGAGGAGGGGACATGGGGAGGCCGCCAATATCTTCAAAATTGTTGTGAAGGGATCACCTGCATGTTCTCTTGACACAACTACGTTCACCTCCCTACAAAACCTGCATTTAATGCATTTCATTGCCCTTTTCCACACTACATATATCCCCAGTATGATTCATTGATAATCCCACAACCCTAGCTACAAAGTTACATCTATTCTCTCTGAAATCTGATAAATAGCCTATTCATAATAAAGAACGATAAAAAAGGAAAAAAAATTGTCAATATGTCTAAGTTTCTTGTTTATCAAATTGTCAATATGTCTAAGTTTCTTGTTTATCTTTTGGTTTGTCTTTCTCTCCATGCATGCAGTGCTAGACCACTCGCAACAACTACTGATGAAGAAAACAGAATACAGGTTTGCTTTACAAATATTTCTTTTTTTTATTTTCTTGTTTGAAGCTTATATATATTACTATCTCTTTCTTTTGATGTGGAGATTAGGTAAGTTAATAAAATTGATCCGACTATAATTTACTTTTTGTTTGCAGGACGTAACATTTTTGACAAGGGACACATTTAAAACAGAAGGAAAAATCACGTTTGAAAATAATGGAAGTGGAAGTCGAGATGATGCAAAACTTATGTGGAAAAAGAGATCAAATGGAGAAGAAACTAAAGGTATTGGATAAGATTACCTAGTTCATTAATTTGCACCACGTTAAATATTTCCATTCTTGTTGAAATCTATCAATTTTCATTGTTTCTAGTGTTCCATTTGAGTTTCTTCTTTATATGCAAAAACATCCACACATTTTAAAATATGTAGCATTATAGTTCTTCCTTTGTAACTCAACTAAACCATCCTTGCTTGGATATTTTAGAACTCAATTTCACACTTTTCCATGTTAAATATTTTCAAAAAGTTATAAATAGAGACGTAGAGAAGGAAAAGAGAGAAAAGAACTCATTGCTTCCGTTTCGAAGTGATCATGAATCTTTATTTTCCTACTTTTAAGTTTTAACCCTTAAAATTTTATAAATGACGAAATATGTGGTGTGAATTATAACAGGAAACAAGGTCATTACAGTTCAAGAAGGAGCTCAAGTAAAGGTAAAGCTCTAATTCTCTCTCTATATATATGTACACACGCGATATAATTGGTGTTTATGCCACTGAAAATATTTTATAGTATGACAGAGTATTCCTTGAAGGAATCAAGTGTTAAACTCAAATACTATGAGAAAGAGTAAAATTTTCTTGTAACCCAAGAATTACTTAATCATTAGGAAGAATAAAACTATTTAAAATTCAGCTGATTTTACTTGTTGTATCGCATATTGATCTATTTAGCTATTAACAATCTCATCTTTCAATATTGTATATTGACATGCACAAAGTCGAGAACAATAAGTATCCAATTTCTATGCTTTGTAAACAGACCATCTTTTATTTTAAGTATTTCACTTATATACTACATAGTAGTGTAAACGTTTTTTACAATAAGTATATTTTATCTGTAAATTGCTTCTTTTTTTTAAAGTTATTACTTTTTGTAGACGGTTATCTATAATTATCTTTTAAGTGAGTTGATAGTATCAAAGTTATAGGAGTTCAAACTCTTCAGTTAAATGTGCACGAATATTTATACAAAGAAAATGTTTAATTTAGATTTCGAATTTGTATGCAGATGTTGAGGAGACAATCGCGATTGATTCTAGAAACTCCACCATTAGCACAACATGAGGAAGAAGCAGTGAACTCCATTGAAAAAGACCCTGTGGAAGACGTGGTGGTTATGGACTATGCTCAACCCCATCGAAAACCACCTATTCACAACACTAAACACTAGATTTATATATTTGTATCTTAGTAGATGAAAAAACATACTTATATGTATTTTGCTTTCTCGTTTATATACGTGAGTCTGTCGGTTTTCAGTTTGTTCTTTTTTGTTTTTTTCGTAAATGAAGGAGAATCCTACATAAGAAATACTCGTATATGATACGATATTCCATATATGTACAAATAGAAATTCTAAGAAAGGCAAAAGCCCTAGCAAGAAATATCAGTGGTATGGTCACGTGTTACATTAATGCATGGTGATTGAGGTTTAAGGGCATGATGTGGATGGATATGGTCCCTCATATTATTGTGTTGTTTTAATCAACTGTTGCCTTGATTTAAAAAGTGCATATATAATAAATATATATATAGTAGAAAAAGAATAGCAGTGAAGTGGAGTGGTGGTCTCTCTGCCGTGAATATGTTGGTTGGTTCTCTTATTTAATGATGGAGAGTTATGTGTTAGTTTCTGCACTGTCCCTTCTTTGGTTTTTTGCATTTGATATCCAAGAAACCAAATCTATTCGTGTCATTTATCATATGCACAACCATAGGGAGGCAAACAAAGTTATTATTTGTCACTCTTGTCTTTGAATTTTAGTTCGCAACAGTCCAATTTGCGCGCAGCCTTGGGGTTGGAAGAGTGTCATGGTTGAGGTCAAAGATATATTTTGAATTAATTTATATTTACTGACAGTGTGAAAAAATTCTACCCGCTTAATATATATTTACCCACGTTTATTGCAGATTATTGTCTCTTGTTTACTTTTAAGCAATCATCTAATTTCTTTTTACACTACTTTAATATATAAAACTTCAACTCTAATCAAGTTCGAGCTATATAGACTAAGGTGTAACATTGTATCAGCCAACCCACTAGTAATATTGTCTTCTTTGGACCTAGGTCTGCACGGCTTTAAAATGTGTCACTAAGTATTACCCCGCCATCATTCAAGGTTGCACACGAAGTGACTCTAATACCATATGTAACAACGCAGCCCTAGTGATATCGTTCGTTTTAAGCCTAGATTCGCACGTTTTAAAAAGCCTCATTAAGGTCTAAGGCTTGTTTACTTATATATCTAGCATCTCTCATGTATTTTATTAATATGGGATTCACATGGATGTCACAAATATATATATTTATATAGAAACGTCACTTAAAAGATAATTACAAATAACTTCCTATAATGAGAACTGGTAACCTAGAAAAAAGTAATGAGTAACCTACTTCAACGCATTAAACTACAGTGATGGTAAAACACCTCTGCCCACAATTGTTAGGTCTTGGGTTCGACTCACGCTGGAGGGGAAGTGTCTCAGTTGGTAAAGCATTTCCACCCACGACCGTTAGGTCCTGGGTTCGAGTCACGCTGGAGGGGAAGTGTAGAAACACTATAGATCCTCCTAACTTGGGAGGGATTTAAAAAAAAATAGTGATGGGCTAAAAGTTCTTTACAATTAAGTTTACGTTACTTAAATCCTAATTTACCAAAGGTTTAAATGTCATATCTTTGGATAACATACTTATTCTATTTTACAATTCAAACATCAATATAGAGAGAAGCACTTGCTGTCATTACCGATCGCATTATGCGAAACCAGGAGGGGAAAAGTGGTTTAAAATGCACCTAACAAAATTCCATTTGTTAGAACCTGAGCGCAGGACAATTTATGTCATGACGTTTAAACCGATCATTGATCCATTTGGTAGAAGTGACAATTCAGGTGCAATGGGACCTAACTATTTGACGGACTAAAATCATTTCGCGAACCTGGAAATCAATTTTGGAGCAAAAATCGAAGAGAAGCACTGTGTAAGGATTGTGTAGGTCTCGAGGAGAAAAATGCCTGTGACAGTACCCGTTTTTTTCCCTTATTGAGTCTGACTTTGTCTGAATGATGGAGACCTTTAACCACTGCTACAGCTGACAATGAATGGATTCAAAAAATTGATGAACTCTGATGTCCTGATCCCCAGTTTAAGATCAATCTCGCCACCTCCGAACCAGAAGAAGTCGGGATTGAGCTTGGTGATTGCTTCGTCCAAAATCACCTGTTAAAATTAGTAAGAAAGATATAGTAGTAAAGCACTATTTTCCACAATACTTGGAACTTTCTACTGCAACAGAAAGTATAACGCGAACCACAGGTATCGAGTGAATAATTACAAGTTTGAGTAGTAAGAAATTGATGTTCGGCTTAAACCGTGGATGTCTATGGCTGAAGAATTTAATAAAGTACTGTCACACCTCCTTTTTGCGCGCCCGCCCTGAAGGATAAATGCGCGAGGGAGTTTTTCCAATTTAAGTGACAATATTCGAGATGAGATTATTTATTTAATTCAGAGTCGCCACTTGGGAAAGGTTTGGTTTTTGGTGTCCCAAGTCACCGGTTTATCTTGAATCCCAAATCGAGGAAATTTTCGACTTTCCAA